TACACAATATATAGGCAAATACCGAATCCAAAAAATATTTCCTTTATCCTTTCATGGCCTTTGCTTAAGAACAATTTTTAAGAGACCAATTATGTGGCTACAGGCAAATTTAAAAGATGTCAGTTAGAAATCCTTTTACTCACAATGTCCTCTAATCTTCCAGAAAGTAAATCATGTGCAGAATGTAAACAATAATAAAATTAGATTATCATGTTTCTATTGACAACAGAATATTTGACCACAAATATACAAATATAGCCTTGAAAAAGCAGCCTCAAACCATAATTTTATACACATTCACTCCAGTTTATATATTTCTTGTAAATAAGGTTTTCTCAAAAATATCACTCCAGTTTATATATTTCTTATAAATAAGGTTTTCTCAAAAATACTCTAGTTGGATATAACTGTATTTTACTAAATTCACATTACAGTGAGAAAAACAAATCCAGATAATTTGTTAGTGTCCTAAGCTTTGTAGAAATGATAAAACAACTTTAAAATAGCTTCTGATAATATAAATTTGTAAAATTGAATTAACCTATCATCTTAAAATATGCAATACAAAATTAAATAAATTTTAAAACGCAGAAAATTTAGCCACCTAATTCAAGATTGTATCTCTTATCATCTTGGAAATCTGATATACCAATCCAAAATTACTATTTGAATTACCATCAGAATTCCTGAAACCCTATTTGTAGTGAGGAGTCCAACTACATCTGGTTTTATGTCACTTAAATGCAAATTCATCTGCTGGAAGACAAGTTTAAGCTTCTTTCTGAGTTTGGATCTAAATTTACAATAGAGAAAACGCAGAATTAGAGCTCTTACTTCCATTTGCTCACACCTCTTTTTTGCCCTTTCCTACTCCTCATCCCCAGACAACCAAAAACAAACACTCAAACTAGCAATATATGAACTGACCAATCTTAGACTCCCATAGACATAAGACAACCAGAAAAAAACAAAGATGGAAAGAATCACTGCTTTTCAAACAAGGCCTTAATCAGGTACGTAAATAAAAATCCTTTCACTGCTATAACACTGAGTCCTTCCATAGGAAGGTTTCCCAACTACTTCTCACACTTACACAACACAGACATCAACACACAGACTCTACTGAACAGAGGCTTGAACATAAATCCACACATTAGAAATCCTCTCAGATTCAGCGCTTTAATATGGATATAGGGAAGCAACACCAGCAAGAACCGTAGGTCTTAAATATTATGATTTTACAATCTCTCTAATAAGAAGTTTCTATTCTTTCCTGTCTTGGAAGACTAACTACCTCTCCTCAAAATAGGCAAAACGGTTAAAAGAAAGCCACAATTGCTGTTTTCATAACTACCCATTAGTCTCCTCCAAAGCAAGCCTTAAGTGTTTAATAGTAACTAAAATATTTATTAATGCATTTGGAAACCTATCACTTCCACCAGTGCTTTTTTCTTTGCAACGCAAACATTCATGCATGCTACTATTTTGTATTTTTACCTATCTATGCTTTCTATCTCAAAGAATTTATAAAGTGTGTGAAACCAACAGTTAACTACAATAACGATTCACAGAGAGGTTGGACTAGAATATAAAACACGAGTGGCTGAAATTTTTGAAATATGAAACATTCAAACAACTATTCTAACTGAAGAACATTTCCTCTAGGAAATAAAAAAGCACAGTATTGGAGACTGGAGCTCAGGGTCTTTCTGTCTTTATCCCTTAGATGAACCATGAAAATAGGCACTAGTCTGTGAATACTGAACCTACAAACATTGAGTCTTATGATAATTTGGCAGCCGTCTTAAGAAGAAACTTAATATTCTCCGCCTCTCCATTCCATTCCCTTCTTGTTTGTTCTTCAGATGAAGTTATGGTTTTTGATACAGGAGATTTTCATGTTTTCTTAGCCTCATTATAGGGACAAGTGGTGGCAGGAAGTAAAAAAATGGCTGAGAGAGAGAGAAGACAACCTATAGAAACGTGGGCAAAGCCAACAACTGTGTAAACTAAATGGAAGTTTTGTTGACCTCGTTAAAGAAGCTCATTTCAACGAAGCTGAAGTAGAGTCAACTAAATATAAATCATGGCCAAGAGCCTGGGTGGCTCAGTGGGTTAAGCCTCTGCCCTTGGCTCAGGTCATGATCTCAGGGTCCTGGGATCGAGGCCCGCACCGGGTTCTCTGCTCAGCAGGAAGCCTACTTTCTCCTCTTTCTCTCTGCCTGCCTCTCTGCCTACTTGTGATCTCTCTGTCAAATAAATAAATAAAATCTTTTAAAAAATATATAAATCATGGTATATGTAGCTAGAGATACTTGTTATGGAGTTAGGGGAGATGACGGCTATTTCAAACGCGCTCCTAAATTTTAATGAATTTCTTGTTTTGCATTCTAATTCATGGGTGAACCGTGTTGGTTTCGAAATCAATAAGATTTTCAAAGAAGTACGAGGAAAATCCATAATGACTATATCCCAGGGAGGCTTGCCAGACACTCTAAGTTCACTAATTTTAAGCTTCACTCCTCTAGTGGCGACTGGGGGCAGTGAAATAAACACATTACGGAACATGTAAGCAGCATGATGAATTGATTCACAAACTTAATAATAACACAGAACTTTCTTATATAATTTGCATCTAAAAAGGCATGTAATGTGGATCATGAAGGAAATTTGGATCCATATTTCCAAACTATGTACTAAAATAAAACTGGGTATCCCCAACGTCTTGACCAAATTTCCCTTTACCCTTTGGATAATTTATATTGATATCTTCTAACTTCCCTCTCTACCATTACCCTTGCAAAGTACACCCAGGAATGATGGCTACAAACAAAGCAAGATGAGTAACTGCATTTGTCTGAAAAATTCATTCCCAAGACCTGAGATCATTTTTTTTGATAAGTAAGTAGTTTCTAACTATTTGCCAGATTGCCTGGCTGAGCGGATTCCACAGTTATCTAAAATATTGTATTCTTTTGAACTATTTTGGTTATGCAAAAATTGTATAAGATACATATTCTTGAATATGGACCTGACAACAAGCCATTAAATGTAAACTTTTAGAAATAATCCAACCACTCCACATGCCTTTAAAAAACAAGCCACACATCATTCACACAAGGCCTTCCTAGGGGGCAGTCCCCAACACATAGTCTGTTTCAATATTATGTGGTCCTTATTCTGTAGGAGACGATTTGCCAGGAAATGATGACAGTATGAAACCGCCTTATCCCCATTTCATTTCTTCATACGTAAATCAACTATTATTATTTTGTAATTACTGCTACTCCTATATATTATGGTTCCATGCAAAATGTATGCTTAGTGTAAAAATGATTTAACTAGTCTTCTTTATTTTTAAGTTCCTTTAAATGATTTTCTTCTTTGGACTTCTCAGCGAGGAGAACGACTACAGAAGGTTTGCACCCATGGCCCCCTTCGACCCTCCTGTCAGCAGCTACCTGCGTGAGAACACTGGCGCGGGGCCCATCAGCCTAGGGAGCTGCGCATGCCCCTGACACAGGGCAGCAGCCAGGCTTCTACCTGAAGCCAGATTCCAAAGGAAAGAATAAAGGACTCCTTGATTTTTTTTATTGGCTCTATAAAATCTACTTAGATACCAGAACTGCTTTCCTAAAAACCATTCCAATTTCTTTTTGATCACCTATCAAAATGGAAAGAGTTTCATATGAAAAGCCACCTTATCCAGAGATTTTTTTTTTTTTTTTTTTGCTGGATCAGCAAAGTTTCTACTTTGGTAGAAAATGACAGTGACCATTTTTCATAAACACTGGTAATGAATGTAGTTACTCAAAGAGTCAAAACAGACTATTTACATGTTAAAAATAATCACTGTCAGTATAAAAATGAAGATGTCTAATATCAGAAACAACTTACTTTGTATTTTTCCTATTATCTGAAATTTCATAATATTACTAATTTCAAAAGGCCTCACCAGTACACATTGGAATATCGCAAACAATTATATGGCATTTAGTTTTGTTTATTTTTTAAGAACTGTGACAAAAGATCACCATGGTGATGGGAAAATGATGGTTAAGGGTTTTGTTTATGGATAGGAGTCTAACATGGATAATTCCTTGAACTTCTAGTGAAACTTATGCTCTGAGGCTTAGTAAGGAGTATACACAAGTATCTGTGAAGAAATTTTTCAATAGGCTAAATTAGAAATAAATACAATATAATATGTAACATATCTTTCCATATGCTGAAGTTCTAAAATTACACATAGTACCTAAAGAAATGTGCATAACAGCTAACAATACATAGGGATAGCCTTGCTTACATATTTAGACTTAGGAGTGTATGGACTAAAATAGATATCTGCATAAAATTTACATATTCATATGTATCATTATACAAGATAATTGTAACAGTACTATGTTTAATGTATACTATTCAATCTTTAAGAAAGTAAATAAATTTCATGTATCTCCCAAAGAAGGCTGTATATTTGTAAACAAGTTTGTTTTCTTTTACCTATTTATATTTTCATGGTCATAGCCACAAGAACATCAAGCACACAATTTTATTGGTATTTAGAAACAATCCAGTCCAATGTTACAGTTAAGCAAATTTTACTGTATTTAGTAACAAGAGGGAAAGTAAAATAAAGGAAATATTTCCAAATTTTCATTGCTCATAGAGTAAAAACAATGCAAATTGATACTGTGCTCTGGAGAATGATCAACAAGGAGCTAAAAAACACTCAAAGGTTAGAAATGTTGTGCACACATGCGTATCATATGTATAGATACATACACACGCACTTGTACCAAATAAAACCAGCCTGTGTTAAAATAATTTAGTCCTCTGCACCTCCTGAGGATGAATACCCATTCACAAGTTAAATTACATAAAGGGGAACTAGAACGGCAGCTTCATGGGTTTGACAACTGAAATCATAACCACCTAATAACAAAGCATATACTGACGAAGAAACAAGGCGCAAGGTAAACAGGGAGAAGGCAGACACTCACCTTCGGTGCCATTGGGAGTCATGGAATTACTATTTCTATGAGAGTTATCGAGTTTGGGACCACTGGGGGGTTCACTACTACCACTCAGACGGCTATGCGGGCTGGTTAGATCCTGCATTTCCATAGACCTAAAGACAAGAAGCCTTCCGTGTGACAGATGTACCAAATTCATAACACTACTATTTAATGTGCTAACGACTTGACACCTCTGAAACCCATGCACACAAAAGTCCCTTTGTATCTATTTTCTTAGACTCCAGATAGTTCATCTTACATTTTAACTTCAGTCATGCTTTCATAACATGTGGTGCTCAAAGGTGTCATTTGCCTTACATATCCAACCAAACATTCACATGGCACTTTGAAAATCTTTTTTTTTTCTTACCCAGCTCATCAAATCACAATGAGACAATTGCATCTATTTTAATTTTCAAAGGAAGAAAAAATGTAGTCATACTTTTCTTTTTCTATTGAAAAAAAAAGAAGCATTATTTTTGTAAAAGATAATTACGTAAACGGGTATAATAGGAAAAAAAATCACTTCTCTATGGAATCTGTTCCATCTAATAAATTAGCACTAGGTACTCTCTTACAATTTACCACCCAATTGTAATTTAATGGGTCTCCAAACCAAATAAAACACTTGAAGCTTATAGTGTAGTGACAGGGAAAGAGATAGTCCTGATGCATGTGTTTACTCTGGCAAACTGCTTAATTGTTCCTCTGTTTCCCTTGAAACAAATGCAGCATTAAAACATTATGATGTCGGCTCACTTGTTTGCTTTGTGGATTACATACAGCGTGCCCAATTGAAAAGGGATAAGGCCAACATACAGTGAGTCCCTGCGAGCATTAGCATTTGGAATACCTCAGCTGTCACTTATTCAGGGAAACAACAATTCTACTTCAATGCTGCAATTTTGCATTCTTACCATTTTATAAAAACAGTTAAATTCTCCCCCAAAGTTCTCAGGCTCAGTAGTTACTTATTCTATAAGGTTATGGTATAGAAACCACTCCTCATGGTCACAGTTGCAGGATTAGCCATTTATATTTAATATTCTATTAATAGAAAGGAGGGGGCTTATTTCAAGTGACTCAAAGCACACCTAGATACCCTTCTGCAATTTTTTTTTTTTAAATCTTAGGCCCATTCGCTTTATTTTAAACTTCTGTGTTTTTCTTAAAAAAAAAAAAAAAAAAAAAAAGGGTGGTATTAATGTTCCACTGAAGTGAAAACTGTTTCTGCCCCCCAACCAGATCAATAAAAGCTAGTTATTTTAATTTAAAGGCTGCACTTCAACCTACTGTAAATAGTTTTTAAAACAGCTTAATATGAACCATGTAACTTCTAAAGTGAGTTTTTACTTGCCCAAATCTTCTAAATCCAAACTAGAAATGGCTTACAATCCAACTTTTCTCTCCTAATTCACATTACACATTCACAGTTTACCTAACACCAGAAACTATAGCCCATAATCATTTTCAAACCCAGGCTCCTATTCCCTTTCTACATACTTAAAATTTTTTACAAGCGTACACACACACAAATTGTTAAGTAATTTCCAACAGAGGCTGTTGCTATTAATAGAAATAATGAAGAAATACTAGACAAAAATAGATATGGGTCACAGAAAGGTAATCTCCAAAAATGTCAAATATCCTTACCTGCAACTTGAGGAAACAGCAACATCTGAACTGGTTTGAGATGTTTGCACCTGTGATCAGGGGTAAGAAATTAGAAGCTGTTGTTAACTCTGCTTCACTGTCAGCTCTTAATTATACAGAGCACATGGCTGAAAACGACAATGCTCTCTTTTAACCAAAAGAGAAAAAGGAGGATACTGCAGCAGTGAAAGGCATATTGTCTTTAAGTTGAGGTCTCCACTGTTGTTTCCTCCTGCAGGTCTACCCTCCTCCTCCCCTTGTCAGGGGGGAAGGCAGCCAAATGACGGGATAGTGATTCATCACTGGCCTATGACAGCTGCAAACGGGATTACCCCTCCCCCAATCAACATGCAAAGCAGCCTTGCCCAGGCAGCTTGGAAAAGGTACTGGTGGGGGGGGGGGGAATAGCTATTAGCAAAATGAGTGTGTTTCACAGCAGTTCAAGAATTAATCCTCCAGCATCCTCAGAAGATCTTTCATCTTTTGCTATCACCAGCTGAAACAGAGTTCCCGCCCACCCTTTTGACTCCTGACAGTTTCTTATCCTTATCATGATGGTTTTCTCCTACATTTACTATTTGCCATTTAACATTTACTGAAACGGCTTCTGGGCGACTTGCAGGTGATGCTGGACTGACCAAAATTGGCAAAGGCAAGTTTTCAGACCCCAAAATCACATCATGGAGCGATGTGCTCATTTACTCATGCAAGTTTGAGGAAAAAAAAAAAATCAGTGAATGCTTATTTGCCATTGCCTGCTGAAACAGAAAAAGCAGTTAGCTTTCCGCTTAATTTTCTGTCTTTCAAACCAACAAAGAGAATGGATGGCTTAATAATCAAGTCAATGTCCCAGTTAGCCAGTGTTTTGGTGCCTTTTGTCTCTGATAAATCAACTAAGTTAAAGTGCAGGCTTTGCTAGTCCCTGCCCTTCCTCCAGAGGCAGCGCAAGCTACCAGCAGGTGAGAAGCTCAGGTGAGGGTGGGCTGCTGGTTTGCAAGCTCGGGCTAACGCCTCCCAGGAAAGAGCATTCTGAAAAATGCTTAAAATGGCTCAGAACTCCAAATCTTTGATGTGCATTTTCATTCAACCTGAACTGACATCAATTAGGGCTACAGAACAAAGATGAGAACCGAAGCATCTCAAATGGCATCAAAGTGATCCAACCGAGTATCTGCTATTGAGTCCTGTTATTTTTTAATTATGATTTATGAAATTAAGAAATTCTACCTTTCTGGCAAGAACAGCTCATTGTTAGAGTCTAAATATCTTGGTGGAAGGCTCTGTGAAATTTCTAGGTCTGTGTTTTTAGAATAAGTGTAGGACGAAAAATAATTAAGAGACGCCTGAGTATTAAGTGAAAATGCAATTTTAATGCCTGTGGATATGTCATTTTGTGATAGCAGGCGTCCGCAGTTTTTGCTTAATGTTCTCACGCAAGATTAAATGTTTTCCTTTAGAAACTACAGCAATCTACCTCAAGGATAAATTTCCTTTTTTTCCCCCTTTTCCTGCTTTTATACACCTGGAATAAATTATAGGTGAGAACTAACTCAGTTTTAAGAACTCTCTTGGCCCAATTATGGGAAAGAGTATGTAAAACGCACTTTCTGTTAAACGTTAAAATGCATTCCTATTTTAACATTGGCTAGATAGTATAATGTTGGAAATATAATTTTAGTTTCATTGTATACTTTGCAAGTTTGATTATACTTATATTTGTGGCTTAGCCTATCATTAATTAAACCTCAAAGTCAAACTTAAAATGAACTTCAAAATAAGGTCTTCAAACTTCAAAATAAAGCTTAAAAAAATAAGAATTATTCTAACACGTTTTCTCACTGAAAAAAATGCATTTGCACATTTTTTTTTAACGCTGGCCTCAATCTCTACTGTACTTTCATACACTACAATTTTTGAAAGCCCATATCCATGATCTTCATTTCATTAAGTATACTTCAGATATATTCTTTTGTGTCTCAAGGATTATTTAAACCATGTGTTGTGTGTTACTGTATTTAAAAATGACTCTTTAATCAAAATAACTTTAAAACAACTAATCCTCACTTAGGCTGGTCAGCTGAATCCACATCGTGGTCCAGGAAAAATAAATCTACTCTCAAGAATGCGAATGCAGACAACAATTAGACACAGATGTGAGCAAAATTAGTTACAGTTTACAAAATGCTACACTTCACATGCTTTTAGTTTTTTATGTGTAGTACAAGATTACAGTCCAGTAAGGAAACATACTCTTAATAATGACTTATCTGAAAAGAACACCTATTTCTGATTGGTGCTGATTTTCTCTTATGTTTGACACGATCTTTGGAAGTTTCTGTGTTTTAAAGGTCTAAAAGCAAAAGGTGTTTCAAAAATCATTAACTAGGCATATTCCCATTCAAAAAGAGAAAAAAAATTATTTCATGGTTTTCAGAAAAATCCCATTAAGACATTCAGTAAGCTCACATTTTCTGCTTCACATCCATAAACTTAATATGTTTCTTGTATTCTTCTAATCTGGTATTTTTAATTCAAATGTTCCTATGAGTACAAAAATATTTCCCATAACATCACAAATAGTCATCTTCTATTACAATGGAGTCACTTCATTTTAATGCTTTTTAAAACTCTTTGTATAGAATACCCACAGCAACATACTGAGAATTGCAAAAATACAAAGAGGGAAAAAAAAAAGATAGTAGAATTTAAATTCAAGAATTCTAAACTAGTAACTTTGACTTCTGATTAGTTAATGAGGTCTTTTAAGTTTGCCTTTTTTCTAATTAAATTTCTAATTCTTCACAGATGGAACTTTTGTTGATGTTCAATTTGTCTCTCTCATTTTGTTAAACCTCACATAGTACTTCGCCAATCCATTGAATAGCCACATTAAATCTGTTAATACCATGCTCTTCAACCCCAGAAATTATTTCCAGAAGGCAAACTTGCTTTGAGAGATCATCAAACAAGACTTAAGGTACACATTTTATCACATTTTCCCTACCACAGAGCTCAGGATACCGAGCAAAATTCATGACTTTTGCACTGTTTATTATACTTTGCTAAATTACAAATCAAAAGCATCTGACAGAAGATCATGTATGAAGCCAAAAAGTTAATAATGTTCTGTGAAAAGTAAACTGTAAATGGAAAGAGATTCTAAATCTCAGCAGCACAGAGCAAATAAAATGTAGGTACTTGTCTAAATTATGGGTTTTCCATAGGCTTTTTTGCTTGCTAGAAGCAATTTTTATAAAATGACTATAATTTAAAACTTTTTTCCCCCCCAAAACTAAAAAGAAATTTTCAAAGTGAAAGTACTGAACTTATCTAAATAAATAGAGTTGGCAGGCAAGCTGGTTTTGCCCAACCACAGATCAACCTGAGGACTCCCAAATTTGAAAGACAATGGCAATTTTCTAATCAGAATGTATTTTATAAGACTGAGCCTTAGGCATAAATCTGCTTTTTAATTAGAATATATTCCTGCTAAAATTTTCTCCTCAACCAGTATTTCTTACTATGGTGTCAATGCTATAATAAAAACCTGAACCTAAAATCGAAATGAAGTTCTAGGAAGAGATGTCTTTTAAATGCTAACACTTAATTCCTTCTTTATCAAAGACTCTCTAAAATGAATGCTCCAATACTATTACTGATTTCAACATAAGATGCTGTATTTCAAACTTTCTCGTTTGAAGAAAATGACAAAAATCGAGACCCCGTGAAAACAAAAACAAGCATTTAAACGACACTGGTGCCACTATAGTTTTAAAAGATTTGTTTTCAAAATTAGCATTCATTCAAAATGTTGAATGAAATACTTTTGCTATCTGATTAAATGGAAGGGATTTTATTCTCGCTGCAAGTGTTTCTGCTTTTCCCAATGTATTCTAATATGAATTTTCTCATTCAAGTGGAAATTTTCTTTTGAGAAAATCATTTATCATGTCTATGAAACTCACATAGCAGTTGACTTCCTTTTGGCACTCTAAAACTGAACAGTGGCTCAATTAGGCTTCTCTGTCTGTCACCGCGAAGAATTTTCAGGATTGAAAACCCATGGCTGTTTGCTCATTTACTGAACACTCTGGGCCTTAGGAGAACTCAAGCAGCAAGAAAGTCAAATATCAAATATTTGATAATGCAAAAAAACATGACTATTCATGAATACATGTCCTCAAACCTCCAAATGGTGGGTGAAAAAACTCACAGAAGCCTAAAACAAAACCTACTCTGAAAGACACATTTAAAAAAAAAAACAAAAAAAAAAAACACCCAAACCCCATAAAACTACACTTTGGGCTTAACTGCTGACTTTTTGTACCCCTTGTCATTTTAAGAAATGCAACATAAAAACACTTGTCTAAATTCAATGACAGGTCTGAATTTATTGAATTCCTGCAAAAGCTACTTAAATGTGTTCAAAAACTCCTCCCAAGAAATATAAGCCCACGAGTCATTAGCAATATACTGATTTTAAATGACAAATACTTTAAATGGTCATTCAAAAGTTTAAGAATCTTGTTTTTATATTTCCAGGTCCATTCAAGTCATATAAAGTGTCAATAATCGAAAAGTACATTAATTTAGCAAATGTTTATTATTTCACCTTTTGAAGATGAATCTGTTTAATATAATGTTTGGGAAAATTGTTTATTGAAGCCAAAGGATTTCCTCCCTTAAAAAGTGGTATCAATTGATTTTTGTTACCTATTGGTCCTTTCAAAATGTTAATTCCTTCCTCGTTTTCACCTATCAACCAAAGGTGCAGAGGAAAAGTTATCTGTGTTGCAATGCACATTATTTACACGCCTTTATTGCTTTATTCAATATCACAACAATATTGGAGGTCTGTGCAATTCAGGAGAGATATGAAGTAATCTCCCTACAAGAATATAGCCCTGTGTTATATTTATATCGATCACAACAACAGTAATTGCTAACAATTAATTTGTAATTATCTCTTAATGATGCTAATCGCTCAGCTAATTTGGGGGTTAAGAACTATACTTTTATGATGGCACCCTGTGGCTGGTCAAGCACTACGTACAAAGTGTCATAACCGTGCCCGTGCCCTAATGTTATTTTAAAACAAATCCAAACAATACTAAAAGCGCTCCTGTTATCTTGGGCTCTGCCCACAGGACAGCTGTTGTCAGTCGCTACAATTTTTCAAACAGTCAGCTCGTACTTACAGCGCTTACATCCGCTGCATCCACCAGTTTAATGGGCTCCTTCGAATTTTCTGGTTTAGCAGACCTCCATTCCTTATGCAGTTTGGCTCCTGGGTAAGGACGCGTGAGGGCTTTTAGGAGCTCCCAGCGGAGCCCGGCGCTGCTGGGAGCGGGGCGCCTCGGGAGGGGGAAGCCGGGCCGCGGGGACAGCCGCCTGGCCGCTGCTGCAGGCTGGGGCTGCCGAGCGACTGAGCGAAAACGCGTTCCCCAGAAAGCAAACCGCCACAGTGGACGGCAACAGGAAGGCTTAAAGTCGGAAGTGGCACTGGAGAGTTTCTACCTCGCCCCAAACTCGGAGCCATCAGCTCCTACCGTTCTGTTTAGGAACCGCTTTGTGCCCTGCGCTCTTTCCCCACCAAACAGCAGCAGCAGATAGCATCTGAGAACCCTAGACAAAGAAACAGCAGAATCTCATCCCTCGATTTGTTTGCGCAGCCTTGTAGGTCTGCCCGTGGAGCCTCGGGGCTTTTTTTGTTTTTGCAACGCAAACCACAGCTATTCTCTTGTTCTAACCTTATTGGTTTAAATGCAACAATTGAAAGGAGCCCTGCTCCGTCTGACTCAACCTTGCTGCTTAAAAAAAAATTTATTATGTAAATGAACGCGCCCCATGCTATCTGAATAAACAGCTGTGAGAATAAGTTCTCTGAGACACTGTCAACACATATCTCCTGCTACAGAAGCTACCAATTACGAGCTTTGGGGAGTAGTTACACGTTATCTTTTATACTTTTCCAAAACTTTTTTCAGGCCTTGAAACTTGGGGAGTCAACTCTTTTCATTTTTTTCCCCCCCCGATATGTACCAACTAGCAGGTCTGGGAAAAATTTAAAAAAAGAGAGAGAGAGAGAGCGCGAGCGAGAATGGCCATTTGTATATTAAGTAGGTAAAGAGAGAAAACAAGCAAACGTGTAAACTATTATCAGTTTAACAACGAGAGCCCGGATGATGTTTCTGCAGTGATTTCTAGAATAGCTAGTTTTACAGGAACAATTTTTTTTTGGGGGGGGGATATGAACCAGATAATATTTCGGTGTTAATATTTTACAGTCATTTTTGGGAAAAGATTTATTTTATCTAGAACTTTTTCTTTACACTTTGTTCTCTTAAAAACTTTTTAAACTAAATTCACAGTCTATATATAATCCATAACACTTATCTAGAGAGTCGAGCTATTCATATTAGGATGAAATTACAGCTTCAGTTTAAAATGCTTACTTACTATCATGTTTTAGGCAAATAATAACTGCGGTTATTAGCTCGATGACAACCGTTATATTGATTTCAAATATTTAAGGAAGGTATCACTGATGTGCCTATTATATTTTAATTTGCCAGCTCCATACCAAAGTTCAAAGGCAAATGTTTATTTTCATACTACTCACTTATCATAACCAGTCTTGTACTCTAAATCAAAATCCTTAAACCCATTGGATTTTCTTTCAAACTATTTCACCATTACTGAAAATGCTATTTTATGTATTCGATCATTTATTCATAATAAAAAGCATCTTTTTTTTTTTAAGGCTCTTGCTTTGGTATGAAAGAACATTTTTATAAAAATCACAGTAAATTCTTAAGATTTTATGATACCTTTCCAGATCATGAACTAATAAAACCCACACACACAGTCTTACCTTTTCTTTGCTAATTTGTAAATGAAAGCACCATTCCCATGCAACCAAAACGAAAAGCTTCTAATGAACAAAATTCAGTATGGACTTTCTCCCTCTCTCCCCCCTGAAAGCATGCCAATCTAAATTCCTCAGAAGAGAAAGCTTTGTCAAAACTAAGAGTCAGCTTAAACTGCAAACTCACCTAGGATTTCATTTTGTATGGTACCAGCAAGGAATCATGGGTGAGTCATCTGCCATGTTTGGGAAGCTGGGTCAAAAATCAGTTGATTGCTATTGGATCTGTTCATATATGCAGCAGAAATAGAATTACATTACCACCTACAGCACTTTCTCAAACAGAAGTATCAGTTATTCAATATACTAAAGTAAATATGCAGAAAATAAAATACAGCACATAATGGAGGTTTCTAGTGCTGTGAAATGTAATGTAATGTTACATTACTTTAATCTGTGATGTCAGGCACCCGCATAGTAACTGCTTTTGCTATCATATTTATGTCTAAGATTCATAAAATAAAAATCTGAGGTGCTGGTTGGTTCAACCCTGTTTGAAACCCTATGTTAAGCTATTGTACCCAAGCTTCCCATAGTTTGAAACTTATTCTAGATACGAAAGGCTAAAATATTACTTTTCTGATCCACGAGAGATTGTATTTGCAAATCCAGGAGACACAAACTCTATGAAGTTAGAACAGCAGGAATATCATGTAAAGCATCTGACTTTTATATATAAATTACTTGCCTATATTATAATCAAATTTATCATATTACATTAGTTTTTATATTGAAATTCAATTATTTTTATTTATACAGCCAAACAAGATACCATTAAAGAAATGATGCATGTAATTATGGGGAAAATTATGAAAAGCATGATGAAGGTAATATGACCACTAATATGATTCAGGTCATGCTTTATAATTATGTAACAAAGAGCTTAGTCATTGGCTAAAAGAAATATCCATGTGCATATACGCCAATTCTAAATGGTTTCCTTTTCCTAAAACAAAATTAGATGGATTAAAAACAATCACATGCTTATCCATAAATTTTGTCTGGTTACTACTCCTGATTATCAAATAGGCAATAATCACCATACAACTTACACCAAAAATAAGTTATTCTCTGATAAATAGCCAATATGTAAGCCATTGCTAATAGGATCCAGTTTGTAGTATACTGCTGACTTCCTATTTCTAAATTTTCACTAACTATAATTATATAACTTATCCATGTATTTTAAGGACAAAGGTGTCCCTTAAATAAAGTCATACACATTACAACAGCAATTAGAAACATTTGCTGAAAATGTACAAGAAGTAAAGACAGGTAATAGTAGAAAGCATTATCTCCTGGTATTTCCTGAAGAAATTTCAGCACAAACATATGAATAGGAGTATAGAGATTTCTAATATGCCTTTTCCTCACTAAAGCAAAAAACAAATATATAATTTTATCAGGAAAAGGAAAACACTTGAAATAGGCAACTGAAACAAAGTGTTTGAATACTGTCAAAGAGATAGTGTCTTTCATCCACTGTATCTCCAAACAGGTTCTATCTTATAGAACAAGCTGTTGCCTAGATATGTGCCCGGTTATAGAGAAGTCCGCAATTTTAAGAGAAGTTGTTAGTGCTTTCCAATTAACAGAATTTTAAATAAAGGCATGATTGCAAAAATAAACAAATGTCCATAATTTTAAAAGTCTAGGGCAGATATAAGGAATTTATTAGAACAATCAAAAAGGGGGGGGGGGCGCCTGGGTGGCTCAGTAGGTTAAAGCATCTGCCTTCGGCTCAGGTCATGATCCCAGGGTCCTGGGATTGAGCCCCGCATCGGGCTCTCTGCTCTGCAGGGAGCCTGCTTCCTCCTCTCTCTCTCTCTGTCTGCCTCTCTGTCTACTTGTGATCTCTGTCTGTCAAATAAATAAATAAAAATCTTTATTAAAAAAAAAGAACAATCAAAAAGGTAACTTTCAACTTTTTTAACACTACATAAGTAAACAGTTGATTAATCAAATAAAATATAAGAAAAGAACACAGAAAACAAGTGATTAAATGCAAATGTTCCTTTCCTTTATTCCTTCCAGTAACAATAATAAAGATTGTGAGTAATTGTGGAGTTCTCAATAAAAAATGTACTCAGAAGTTATTTCTCTTCTATTTGTAGGTACCTTTTAATAATTTTACAATTAAGCGTGCACACTATTACTTGGCCTGATGTCAACCATCTTTTACTTCTGTTTCTACCATTCTTAGCAGATTATTGCTCATGAATAATGGTATAGTAATTTGCAAAAACATAATTAGCATGTAAAGGACAGCATTTTCTCTTCAAAAGCAAAATCCTAATTATTCTTTCTTCCATATTGGTAGAATCAGTAATATCTGATCAATAAGATCAACGTTTTGTGATTCTCACGGTTTGAAGTGGAATAGCAGATAGAGTATTCCAAAATATTGCACTTCTGGTCCCCCTGCTTCCAAAGGACTCTCTCTTCTCGTGGTTCATGCCATGGCATTACATTTCTGGCTTTTTTATGGAACAATTGAAGCAGTGGATGGCTGACATTAAGATCTCTGCTGGCATTTGGAGTGGTCACTTTCATGACCTCCTCATTCCCCACTGGCACGAGACCTACAATGAGGGCCCTGCTCCCAGTAGCCTTCTGCTGAAACACAACCAAGGAAAACATCCTCTATTTATTTTAAGAATGATATTAAGTCTGCCAAACTGAATGTCTACCAGTATTTTGCTAAATGTTTTCCATTCAAACTCCAACATGAATAGCTTTTAACAGTAAATTTCAGGAGGCAATTACTAGCTATTCACTGTACCATGGAAAATTATTTTAATAAATATTATAGTCTTTACACCAACACAATTTGGAAATATAATCTATTTCCTGGCCCTCTAATAAGTACACTGGTTATTACATATGAATAATAACATTTATTGAGGTAGGGTGGGAAACTTACCATGTGTAGTAATGACTGTCTATAGGATTTTTTTTTACAAAATTATTATTCTAACAGAAACTTTGAGGAGCACTTATCAAAACAAATAACGATAACAAAGGCAGTGGTAGATTTTTAAGAAAAGAGAACGGGATGATAGAGGTACTTTATCTAAAAAAAATATGACAGATGCCAGATTTTCTATTTTAAAAGCAACGGATTATCCAAAATGGCAAACATAGTTACTTTTTCTCCCTTCTGCCAAAAATATGTAAATAATTGTCTTGGAAGCCTATGCTTAATCTCAGCCGTAAGCTCTTTTGCTTTCTCACACTTTAAAATGGATTCCTATTGACGTGAGGTAAGCTCGAAAACCCAGATTTGTCTCCTCTTCAAACTTTTTATTCTCAAAGCCATGGACAAAACCAATCTTGTCAGCACCTCCCAACACTTGTAAGAGGATCTGGAAATTTGTTTT